CTCTAGGGACATGGGTGGCACTGTGGGTTAAACCATAGAGCCTAGGACTTGACGATCAGAAGGTCAACGGTTCGAATCCCCGTGACGGGGTGAGCTCCCGTTGCTCGTTCCCTGCTACTGCCAACCTAGCAGTTCGAAAGCACGTCAAAGTGCAAGCAGATAAATAGGTACCGCTCCAGCGGGAAGGCAAACGGCGTTTCCGTGCACTGCTCTGGTTTGCCAGAAGTGGCTTAGTCATGCTGGCTCCCTCGGCCAATAAAGCGAGATGAGCACCGCAACCCCAGAGTCGGTCACAACTGGACCTAATGGTCAGGGGTCCCTTTACCTTTACCTTTTTAAATGTTCTCTCTTCTCCCATTGCCAGACAGCTCAGCTGCAGAAACAGAAGTACCCACAGGCTATATTTCTTAAAGAGAGCTTCACTTCCATAAAATAAACTATGATTAAACTATAAACAGCTCCATCAACCATAGGATGCAGCAATTTGATTCAAGTGTGATTTGACAATTCTTCCCTAGGGCTCTAGGGCTCTTTCCTGTCGGAGAGAAAGAGATATAGAGCAGTCAAGTGCTCAGGGCACTTTGGCACTTTGATGAGAAGGGTGGTGCCTATCTACAAAAAAGAAGTCCAAGGTTGCTTCAGCTTGCTTCCGGGCTGCAGGCTGCAGTCCTTTTTCCAGGTGCAGAACATTCCCTTCCCATCCCTTTGGTCAAGATGAGCACGTTAAGTAATCACTCCTTTTTCCAGTGCATTAAGAGGAGGAGCAAAGCTCCACCCCAATTCCTGACTGCTTATTTATGGAAGGTGGTATTAAGCTGTCAGTTGCTCACCCTATCTAACCTTTGCCAAATGCAGCACGATCGGCTCAAGACAGAGGGCGTGTTCATATTATTGGTTTTAAGCATAGTAAAAATTCTTTTTCTTTCATAGCTCTTCCTTTTTGCTGCGGCCCCCCTGGTTCATATCAACATGTGTACACAACGGGGTGGCGTGGGGGTTGATGGGAATGTCTTTATCCCAACGGCTTTAGGACTCCAATTGGTGTGAAACTGGGTTGAGAAACAATGCATCAAAGTAGAGGCTACGTATACATTTTGGTCCTGTAAGCAAACATTAAAAACCCAACAATGGAAATGCAGTGGGTGCGAACACAGTCAAGTTTTGTCACATCTAAACAAGAGGATTATCTACTGTGTTTCTTGCCAAATATAATTGCCCCAATGCAGGTACTAGTAAGAGCTTGCAGATCTTACCCAAAGGATGATTTGCAGGAGGGGAGAAGGATTTGTCTACATCAATTTTTCTCCAAATAATAGTTGGAAATGCTGGGAGCTTCATCAGATTTGCAGGTGTGGTAACTATGCTGAACTTATGTTTGTTCGCTCCTGTACTTCTCTGTTGCTGAAATAGGAGAAGATGGGATTCTGCAAAACAAAGGCATGGGATGGATGAGAGGCAGTTGCTCCTCAGCTTTTCATTAAGTTTAAGAAAAGCCCTGCAGGATCCGACTAAAGGCCCTTAGTCCAGCAATCCTGTTATCCCAAAGTGCCAGCCAGATGCCCATAGGAAGCCTGCAAGCAGGACATGAATTCAATGACACACTCACCACTTCCGATTCCTAGCAATGGGCATACGGAGGCTTACTGTTGTTTATGAACCACTGTTGGCACACTTTTACCCTCAATGCAGCTCGATCCAGGAAAAGTTAAGCATTTGTAACAGTGCGGTCCTAACCAGTTTAGCTGCTCTGAGTGGTACAGGAACACTGGAAGTGCAGGGCAGAATTTTAACTTTGAAATAAATAAAATGCTCAGCATCAATCTCTATTATATTCAAATGGGCTCCTTTTCAGGTAAATGCACTTGATTGCATCCTCAGTGGGGGCATTCAGACAACACATCATTCTGCAGACTGAAGTGGAACCATCCAGACAACGTTTTACCAGCTGATTTTGTTGTTGGTGTGATACTGGAGAGTCATGGAACCCGGGACTGATATATGGGGGGTGGGGATGGGGATATGCATTCAAGTTTCCAATTTAGTTCTGAAAATAATTGCAACTTCCAAGGATACAATAAGTGTTCCCATCAGGACAGAACTGAACTGCACGGAATTTAAATTATCATCTTAGATAACATAAAACAGGGCAGCCTATTTAAATAGCAAGCCAAACATTACATGAAATCAAAACAGATCCTGTTTCAGACAGGTAATTGCACGCACATAGATGCTGTATCTTGGTCTGGCGGTTGCATTTGACTCAGAATTCATTAATTCAGTGCGGTACTTTTGTCTAAATCACCAAGAATGAGTAATCATGAATAGGTAATAAATCTGAGGTGCAGATATCTGTTGGTAACACAATTACTTCCTGCAAATTTGTTTGGAATTGAGGCTTAAACTAGGGGTGTTCTTAAACACTGAATTCTTTGAAGTGGCTCACCCTGTCACAAAAGGATCACCCAGTGAAAATGGTAATCCCAGATGTGCTTATGGTGCTACTACAAAGTTCCTTGCATAAATATAATGATTTATACAGAGAGCCTTCTGTTCTGAAATGGTGACTCACTGGGTATATGATGCGGTGTCTCTTCTTTAATCTAATATGATTATATTACTCATATTTTGATCATCTCACTCTAAACCATTGTGTTCTTCCATTCCCACCTCTGAAGCCTGACTTATTCCTCCATATATTCAACTCAAAGGGCTGCACCAGGAAAATTCCCTTAATCCAAAAGAATCCATGTAGTCAGGACAATAACAGAGTCATCCTCCTTCCTGATGGCATAAAATGCTGTGATTCTTTCCACAGGAATGTCTTTTGGGCATGGAAGACAGCTTTTTATGGGCCTAAAATGATTTATGTGATTTTCAAAAGAGGATTGCCTAGGAATGGCCAACCTTTCCTTGCCAGTAAGAGGCATCCTATTTCTACACCATTTGCAATGGAAGAAGATTTTGCTCAACGTCACTGAAATGATTAAAAAAAAATAAAAAATAGAAGACTGAGCCCCTTTCCCTTTCAGTCATAAATTCATGTGTTTATTCCTTATTTATTACATGATGAATATATTACACCCTTACTCAAAGGGTAGTATTTCCAGGGTCAGCCCTTTCATGAGATAAGTTTTATTTTTATTTTGTATGGGACCTCCGCCTGAAGTACCAATTTGAAGCTCTCCAGTGAGTCAGTTTTACATATCTGTTTTTCAGGAGCACAGTCCGTAAGAGAGTTCCAAATGATATGGATATCTCAAACAGCTTGAATCAATTCATCTTTGGCAAACTGAACCCATACCCCTAATTTCTCTTCTCATTTGTATACACTGGAGTGTCACTGTGCCTAATCTTATCCATGGTACTTTGGGATGTGATAGACTCATCTGCACTTTGATTTCACTTGCAGCACAGACAAACCCAGCTTTTAGAGCAATTATACAAAAGAGACAGTCCCCAGAGTTAAAGAAACTTACTCATGAGGTAATTCCTACCATGACCACATTAAAAAAAAGATCAGTTGCCTTTATTCTTTTACTCACTGAACACTTTTCAAAACTTGAGCTATATTTGGCTTTATATACTGCCAACAAGCCTACCTCCCCACACCCTGAAACTGCTCTACACTTATCACCAGACCTAAGATTTCACTCCTGTTTGAGAGGAAAGGGTTTTGGCTGCAAACCTGATATATGTATGCACATTAGTGTCTGTGTGCAGGGAAGGGGGCCTGGGCTCATATAGATGGGTATCTTCCAGCATCTCACAGATGGAATTAGAAATATTTTATTACCTACGTTTTAAAGTCAGTTGATTTTATCATTTTCAAATGAATATTTTATGCTTTATGGAAACTGCTTAAGGGTTGCTTTAAAAATTAAGGGATATATAAACCTTATCTATATATAAACCTTCAGAAGACATCTGAAGGCAGCCCTGTTTAGGGAAGCTTTTAATGTTTGATGCATTACTGTATTTTAATATTTTGTTGGAAGCCATCCAGAGTGGCTGGGGAAGCCCAGCCAGATGGGCGGGGTATAAATAATAAATTATTAAATAAATAAAACAAATGCTTGAAACACACAATACTAAAGATCAATTAGTACACTTCATTAGTACACACTGTTGGCTTATTTAAATGCTTACAAGTCACCTCCCTGACCTTGGTGACCACTGTGGAAACACAAGACAGCACTAGATGGATCTTTGTTCTAATCCAGATTTGGCTGTATGTTTTCAATTGGCTCATTTAACTTTGGTGGGCAGTCCTGCCCTGTGGACCAGCCAGGAAAATTCCCAAGTGCTGGCTAAACTCACATGCACAGGCTGCTGACCAAACATGAGGGGATGCAACTACTGCTCACCCAGGAAAGTATAAGTGGCCATTTTTATCTTAGTAAGCAGACATTGTATGTGAAATGGCAGGCTGAACACTACATAACATCTTAGAGTTCTTGGACATGCATTTTGCCTACATTTGTGCTTGACAGGGATGGGTGCACATGTCAGTTTTTGTTTCTCATTTTGCCAATCTCAATTTCAGTTCCCCATCAATCTGCAACTATTTTAAAAGTCCTTATAAAAATTCACCAGCATTTTAGTGTGAATTTATCCTAGTAAGACACCTTTTTGTATGCACTTTCCCCCCAATACATTCATTTTTGCAAAACTGGTTCCTCTAACATAATGCATTTTTATGTTATTTTCACTAACATGTGCATTTATATGCACATTATGTTTTTTTGTACAGATTGCTTGGCTGGTGAACTGCACTGCAAAATTTGGATACATACAAATTTCAAAACTGTGTCTTGCTTCATTTATTGTTTTGGAAAGTGAAAATTAGATTCATCTTGAAATGTAAACTGAATCAAATCTATCCTCCATCCCTAGTTTAATTTCTAGAGACCCTGGAAAGCAGGTAAACACTGAAGAATGAAAATGCTGGAAACCCAGATTAACAAAAAATGTAACAAGCCATCTATCTCCCCAAACAAAGCAGGAAAAAGGTTGGTCTCTCTCTCTCTCTCTCTCTCTCTCTCTCTCACACACACACACACACACACAGAGAGAGAGAGAGAGAGAGAGAGAGAGAGAGAGAGAGAGAGAGAGAGAAATTGGACCAGTGATGCATCAGGGAACATTGACTGTCCCTGGTAAAAAGAGACTCTTGGAGTCAGAGGGGCTGGACACAATGTCCTGCCATTACACTAGTGACATCTCGCAACATCCTGACATCGTGGGGGGAGGGGGCTTTGAACACTGAGGAGCCCTGGCCCCCTCAAAAAAGTTCAGCCCCCACCCCCAGTGCCTCAGCCCCCAGAAGCCAGTGTACTCACTGGAAGTGTATTGTGTTAGCCAATCTCTCGTATTGTTTTAATGGGATTGTTTCATTGCATATTTTATTTATGGATGTTTATACTTCAATGCTTGTGCACTTGTGAACCAATTAGAAGCCTATTTTGGCATTAAGGAGCATATAAATCTAATAGTAGTCGTCATAGTACAGTGGTACCTTGGATTACAGACGCTTCAGGTTACAGACTCCGCTAACCCAGAAATAGTACCTCGGGTTAAGAACTTTGCTTTAGGATGAGAACAGAAATCGTGCTCTGGCGGCGCGGCGGCAGCAGGAGGCCCCATTAGCTAAAGTGGTGCTTCAGGTTAAGAACAGTTTCAGGTTAAGAACAGACCTCCAGAACGAATTAAGTACTTAACCTGAGGTACCACTGTATGAATAATAATTCAGATAAGGTTAGGTGGTCCTGAGAAGCAATCTTAAGACGCTAATGCGAACATGAATGGATCACATCTTTGTTTTACACTGGTCTCTGAAGATTCCTATGGAGGCATGCTATTATGTCGTGTGTAAATAAACAAAGCACCTGAGATGGTTTCTTTTGTACATACCGAGGTGTGGTGGCAGAGTTTGTTGTAGTGAAGCTGGCATACTCCAACACGTAGTGGAATATCTCAACCCTGTACACTTTGTGTGAAAGATAGAGATCTTAATTAAAGACTTAATTAAAGACTAGAAATGCAAGAAATTGGCACAGGTGGTCATATGGTTCTCTCATGGACTGCATTTAGCAGAACAAGGGTCCCTAAAACCGCTCATTTTCTTCTAGTTTCCTGGTGTGCTGTATAATTCTCGAGTTTCAGTCGAGTTTTCTAGCCAGTGATGACTCAATGGAAAAGGAGAAGGTGGCCAAGTGTTAGTGGAAGTGTCACCCAGTTTATTACACACAAAGTGATTAATTTTTCATTCACTCATCACTCTCTTGGTTTATTGGCGCAGAAAAACATTGTAAGCATATCTCTTAAAACACGAGCCTACACCATTTCTCCCTTTTGCATTGGCAGTCCCTTCAGGAAACACAAAATTGACTCCTATAATCTTACACAACGTCTTTTCTGCAGGGCTGCACTAGCCCATACTACAGTTTGTCAAGCTTTCAAGCCCTTTCAAGTGCATGGAGGTTTTATTAAAAAAAATATAGATGGGCTCCTTCAACATCTGACACCTTGCCAGTCAAGTGAGTTCTCACACCTTTTATAGTAAACTCATAAAAAAGGAGAGAAAGAAATTGCATGAATATTCTCCTAGGTTTTCAAAAGTTCTGACATGAGTCATACAGCTTTCTTAGGCTCGCATCAAATCAGTCAGAAGACATGTGAGGGCTCAAAAAGTAATCCACAGAAAATGCTTTTTTTAAAGTGAAACACACACACAAATGAGTTTAAATGGCTGCTGTTGGATTCTTTGGGTAAGAACATACAGTTGTGAGATACCTAGACATAAATAGCTCTTCATGAGCTTCCAAAGATTGAATAATACTTCAGCCAGAAAGCTTATTGCATGACCTTGGACAAATCACTGCCTCCCGGCCTCTGCCACAGCACAGCATTGCTGTAAGAGTAGGGCTGGCTCCAGACATTTGGCTGCTTGAGGCAAAGGAGAAGCTGGAGCCTCCCCTCCCTGTCATAATAGCAACTGAATCTTAGGCCACATTCACACCACACATTTAAAGCCCTATTATACAACTTTAACAGTCATGGCTTCGGCTCAAAGAATCCTGGGAACTGTAGTTTGCTACACATGCGCCGAGTTCAGCCCAACTTTGGCAGGCGCCTGGCATGCGCACACTTGTGGGAGTAAGAACTGTCCCTATTTTCATCAGAGGAATGTTGGAGGTATGCATCTGTCCTCTTTCACTATTTTTCATTGCTGTACTAATGTGATTTGCATGTTTCCTAGCTACTCTCTTAGATCAATCATTTAAAAACATCTCCCAAGAGAGATTACGCCCTTGTCCAATACCTTGGGTTACGAACTTAATCCGTTCCAGAAGTCTGTTCTTAAACCAAAGTGTTCTTAAACCAAGTCGTGCTTTCCCATAGCAGCGGGGGACTCAATTTACAAATGGAACACATTCAACTGGAAGCGGAACATGTTCTGCTTCCAAGGCAAAGTTCACAAACCAAAACACCTACTTCCAGGTTTGCAGCGTTCTTAATCCAAGTTGTTCATAAACTAAGCTGTTCTTAAACCAAGGTACCACTGTACTTATTATGTATGTAATGGCATGATAAGAAAGCGCTGCTAGAGCCTCTATTCAGGCCCAGCATGGCAACCATTCCATGGTGTGGGCAGGTCCCTCCTGCTTTGTTTCTGCTTAGTAGTGGCGATTGGGAACTGCCATGCACTACCTGCAGCATCACCCCATTCTGAAGTGCGGCCATATTTTATCAACAAACCTGGTGAATAATGAAAACAGTCCACCTTAAAATATCACACACATTCTGGGTTACTCCAAATATGCGCAAAATTTGTTCTGGGTATCATGAAACTCGGCTCCTAAAGTAAGTTGGATTTCTGCTCAGGGAACATTCCTCAAGGTTGTTCTAGGGAGTTTGTGGTATGGATGACTTGGGTGGAATCAACACACATATAAAAACCGTTCTGAAAATGCTTTTTTAAAAAGTGTTTTAAGAAATACACTGAATTTTCCATAAGGCTCACCATCGCCATCTAGTGTCACATTGTATATTGCACTCAAAACATTTTGTTTGCAGCTGTATAGCTGAGTCCATAGGTTGAATGCTCTTTGCATTCCCAAGTACTGCAACCTACACATGCCTTTATTAGGTTGCTTTCTATATTCTTGGGTGCCCAAGTCATATTCCTGCCAGGAAGGGTTTATCAATAGGAATTTTCCTTTTGATCTCCTATTTATATGTACTTAAGGCCGTGATGCTGTTTTGTTGACATTGTGCCAGGTCTTCCTTGGCTCAGATATGACCCCATCAAATCGGAATCAGTTTTGCAGACAATGGGCAAAGATCCCATGGCTCACCGCATGCCTGGAGTCTGGCACATGCAGGTTTGCTATGTTGACCTGGGACTGCAGAGCTGGAGGGAAGCACACTCTGGCCGCTACCATTGGTCAAGGGAACAAAAGCTACCGGGCAGCTGTGCAATCTGCTTGCCAGGCCATGGCAAAAGGAAGAGCAGTCTAGCCTCATCCATCAATCTGAGAAGTAGCAGCTGCAAGGAGCTTGTTCCTCTACGAGAACAAATACTCCGCTCTCATCTTGCAGTTGCTCCAAGACTGAAGAATGGAAGAAAAAATGGCCTCTATGATCCAACAAGGGGTGTTTGTGCATTGTGTTCAAGAAATGTGCAGCTGCGTATGCAATAGCTGAGCTGTTCACATCAACCTGTGCACACTCTTGCACACAAACACTTGTACATGTGTAGAGACAACTTGTACCCGTGTTCTGCGAAACACTTGAACAAGTCGCTCAGAGCGGCTGGGGCAATCCAGCTAGATGAGTTGGGTATAAATAATAAAATTATTATTATTAAGCACATGTTATACCTGTCTTAACTGCTGTCTGTTGCAAGCTTCCCTGAGGATCATTTGACCAGAGGGTGGGATAGAACCCTTCTAAATAGAATGAAATGAATACATCCAGAGCTGATAACCCTCATTTTCCTAGGAAGCATTTCCTTCCCCAGAAAAAAGCAGGGCATCTCTACGCATACAGACTCAGAATAACAGACAGCTTTTATTATTGGAGAAAGTAGAAAGCAAAGAAATCAATGCCGGGAAAACTTAGTGGTGTATTTGTCACTGATGAAATCAGCAGTTCTGAGATGGAAAGGGCTATAAATAGCCATGTGGTAACTAAATGTTGGGAAAGTCATTTTAGGGGAGAAGAGGAGGGACACTTTGCCTTGGCAAATGTAAAGGAGCTGTATTACTTCTTCAAAAAAAATACCTTTGCTTCTAAACTGCAGTGGATGTTTTTATTTGCAACCTGTTCTTCTGCATCTCCTGTTAAAGCAGAGGTAGAGAACCTGTTCTGTGACCCTCCAGATGTGGTTTGGTTATAGTTCTCATCAGCTCCAGCCAGCATGGCCAATGATCAAGGATAATGGGTGTTGCAGTACAGCATACCATCAGATGGGCCACAGGTTTCCAACCTTTGTATTAAAGGGTTTTGACTAACTGGGCTCAGAAAGTCTTGATTGAGTCTTTAGACAACTGCTGATCAGTTTGCAACACATTTTCATTCTTTTTTGCAGAGGCTACATAAAAATTACATTGGCATACTAATGTCATGTGTATATAAGTCCACTAACTGGACTTGCTAGTTGCTAACTGACTAACATTTTCTTTGATGCTAAGTGTCATCACAGCACCTAACATTGCTTTGCCATTTATATTCTATGATAATTGGATTGTAAGGTAAATTGATAAGCCATGCTCCTAAAGGTTCATTTCCAGAGATTGTCTTGATTCCTCAATTACCATGCAATCCTTATATAGACAGGAAAATACATCTTCAGCTACATGGTATTCCTTTTGTTTGGTTTGCCTTTTCCTGGCTCAGCATAAAAAACAACAACACGTTTTTGCGGTGTAGTAAAAATGCCAGAGGCAAAATTATACCCTATGCTGTACCAAACGGTCCTTTCTGACACATGTTTGAGCCACTGGTGAGCAAACCAAACCAAAGCTACAACATTTTTTTTTAGTGTTATGGAACTCTTGGTTTGTGTGGTCTCTTTTATTCAGACACTCTCAGGGCCCAAAGTACAATCCCTGACACAT